TGCTATCACTGAAGACAGACTGGGTTGCCTACAGAGCACCGCTAGTGGCCTGTTAATGAAGCAATGTTTGTTTTTTTTTATTTGAGGGTTGTCCCATTTCGTAGGCCAAGGGGTTAGGGTAACTCCGTTCCAAGGGGTTAGGGTGACACTCGAAAACAAGGGGTAGGGGTAAAAAGAAGAAGTGGGATTGGGCCTAAGTGTGCTTGTGCACCACACATCATTAACTTAAATGCAACTAAACATAAATACAGTAAAAAGTAACAAACATTTCTTATTTTTGAAACAGTAGTTAATATCTTGTGAGCTAGTTTGAACAAACTTTGTTGCAATCCTCAGTGACCCCTGCCATTGCCTGGATTTGTCCAATTATATCACCAGCACTCCTGATGTGATTTAATTAAATATTTATTAACCAAACTACCACAGGGAGAAGTCTGGAAATGGTAAAATGGACATAATGACATTAATAACATCACTGATAATTGCATTAATATTGTTATTTATTTATAATATATCCCTGCAATGGACTGGTGACCTGTCCAGGGTGTATCCTGCCTTCTGCCCTGTGACTGCTGGGATAGGCTCCAGCTCCCCCCTTCATGAAATTTACACACAGTGTAAATGACAACAGACATTTTCAAAATTATTCAAAAACTAAAAAACGACAAAAATGGAGATACAAGGTTTTGTTCCGACAGCAGCGATACATAAAATACATTGTATTACAATGTATTAGGACATATAGAATATGTTACTACAAAGTAAGTATACTGGCTGCCTTAAAATTGTTTTGTTTGTTTGATACTCAAACTTATCTTTGGTGTTTTGAACTAATGAAGGCAGGCGGGTTATTGACTTCAACTTTACATTTTGTTTTTATTACAGTGCGACGCAACCTGAAGTGACACACAGGACCAATATCACAACCAGAACTAGACCCGGCCATGAGAACCACCCACCATAGACTGAATATAACTCATTTCTAATGACTGAATATAGCATTTTAGCATTTCTAATGACGTTGTGGTGACAATGACAGCATCATCAGATCATCAATAAAACAAACAAACAAACAAAAAAAGTCTAATATAATTTTATATCAGCTGTAACAAATGAGTAAATGGATTCACCAATGAATGTTTTTTAGTCTGAATAAACTTCACATAATGTTCTCATCAACACCAAGTGACTCCAGCATGCCAGATTAAAAACTGTTATAAAAGTAGGGATAAAGATCAGAGTGTGGGGTGAATGTAGGCCCAATCTGTTAAAGGTGGGAGATGGCCTAATGAGAAATATTTGAGAAACAATGTCCGAATTTGACCAAACACGACCTGAACAGGGTGCTATGGATGGTCGGTCAGTCAGGACAAACATGGCATTTTCCATCATTACTGTTCAGATCTTCTCTCTGTATTACTGGTGAATTTTTCTGGTTTAAATATCAGATGTATTCACTGTGAAGTACATGGGTGCGCTCTGAATCATACTGCTAAATAGATACAAAATAAAATCAATCCATACTCTGTCTCTCTCTTTGGGATGCAATCCAGGAACTTGGTGGCTCAGTCAAAGCCAGCTGAGCTGCCAGTTAAATAGGTATCATATTAGATACCCTGCAAAGTGTGGAGGATAGGTGAAGGTAGAACACACACATTCTTCCTATGTGTGTTGATGTGAGACAAAGACAGGGCCAGTCACACCCACAGAGAGAGAGAGAGAGATGTAGAGCTAAGAGTTGGAGTAAAAGTGAGAGATAAAGCTCATAGCCTCTTAGTTTTCTTTAGAGCTTAAGTCTCAATGCCTCTGATTAAATTACGGCTTCATTAAGATATCAATCTGTCTCCCTCATACGCCACATCACTGCGCTGTAGCTCACTGCACCAGCGTGCAAGCTCCAGCTCCATTAACCCCATCTTAGCCAACATCTTACTGCTGATACATTCAGAATGTGTGTCTCTGTCCCGTTTGGCTCATTAAACTCATTAAAGTCTGCCCCCAGAGCATTAGGTGTGTGTGTGTATGCATGTCCACTCTCGCTACAGTAAAACAGATCAGCGTGTGGAACTGGAGCTTTGTGTTCTGATTTTTGATTTGATCCATAAAATGAACAATAAAAGAGCACTAACGTGTGAAGTGTATTCCTTTGTTTGCTTGTTCAAAATGGTAGCTTGTGACACAAAATTAAAAAAAAAAAATTTCAGCTGTTAGATTTTTCTTCATGTATCAAAATAAATGTGACAGCAGCTCCGATATTAAAAGAGAAGGTTAGATTAAAAGACAGAAATAGATGCTTTGCACGTCAGTGTTAAAAGGCGTCACTGATATTTTTTGAGGTTTTTTCATTTTTAACTTGCCAAGCAAACATACAGATAGACATATGTGATATCACTTCCATGAACACAGATACATATAGTATGACCTCCCCCATTCCGCCTACAGCAGTTTAGCTTGCTTATTCATGTGGATGTGATAGGGAGTGTTGTTACTGCAGATGGTTTGAGAAATGGTCACATAAATGAAGGTGCAAATGTTTAAGATTAAAAAGAACAACTATAAAATTAGCAGAGTTAAGCAGGTAAGACTGCAGAGTTATTACCTGCAGAGTTAAGCAGGTAATAGTTAATACTACAGTAAAATCACTCACTTCATGTTTAATATGCCCATAATGTGACATTTTGGACTGATGTGTTTCTTGGCCTCCTTTTTTTCCAAGTTTAATACTGTGTTTAATACTGACTCATGATCAAATCTGATCGACGTGCCTGATGATTAGTCTCCCACTTACTTTAATAATCTGTACTAAAACCCCTTTGTCACTGAGATGTGTATAGTGGTATACATTCTGAATTGATATCGTTCGCAGAGTGCAGCAGGTAAAGCAGAATGTTTACACAAAAATTCTGGTGTGAGTGCATTTTTGTCGGTGCTTCTGGTGACATGCTGCTCACAGTAAGTGGCAGATAGTAGACCTGAAGCATTAAAAGTTGCTCACATTTCATTTCTGAAAATGCACCTCATTTCTGCAGGTTGTGGATGATGCCCATTTATGACGCTCACTTAAGAATACAAAAAACAGGAATCAAAGAATCAGAACTAGATTGGGCTGATACTCAAACATTAAAATAAGCCTGGATCATCTCCTATCCCACTCTTCTTGATCGCATCAGGACATCTCTAAGTAAAACGTAGAATATGGGCCCTTTAAAGTGAATAAGACGGACAGAACTCACTAAACTTGACAAGTAAACAATACAACAGTGTTCTGAGATCTGCTCAAGCAGAGATATCCAGCCTCAAATAAATAAATAAATACAAACATACAAGCATAAATAAATAAATAAATTCTTTCATTTTGGACAACTTGCATACTCGTCCTGCTATGCAGAATTAGAACAGTGTTTAAAAACCAAGACTGAAGCCCCCAGCCATCGCATTTTTAATTGCAGAACTGTAATTAAAAAATAAATAAAAACTCCCAGATTTGGGACCTCCTGGGAAAGAAGCTTTATGATGGACACTGGTGCAATTCTAATTATTTTGAGATAAAAAAAGAGAAAAAAGGAAACACTGGCCAAGAATTATTTACTATGTGTGCATAAATTAGCAGAAGAAAAAGGGAGACAGGTTTAAGGAAAGCGAGGAGAAAACTGACGTGTGTATCCTGGACTCATGTGCGTTGCTGTGACCACAAATAAAGACGTGTAATGATGTAGTTAGCAATCAGCAGCGATTAATTAGTGTGGTGTTAGTGATGAGAAGGAGGCAGGCCGCGGTGCCCTGGAGCATCATCACTGATTAATTCCCACTCTTGTGGTGTGTTGTGCGGTTGTGTTCTGCTGCTGTTGGGAAGCTGCCAAGACGTGGTGAAGCTGAAGCTAAACTGTAGCATGGAAAGTGGTTAATGCATCAGGAGGTAGACACTAATGAACTGTTAATATGCCATGCATGGTCACAAACTCTATTCAGCGCGTGCATTTCAGGGCAGGAGCTTGATTCGTGCCTAGTGGTTCTAGGTAGACCACACACATATGCACTGTGAAGGTGCGTCTACACCGTCAGAAAAAAGGGCACTGAACAGAAACGTTCGTTCACTAGGGTACGAATAATGTAAACGTGCAATCAAAGGTACAATAGTCTTAAGGGCAAACTGTGTACCATAAAGCTCCACTATGTACGTTTTTTTTGTTAAAATTGAAAGAAGTAGTGTCAGTTGGTCAAGAGAAAAAACATGCTAAAACATGGTGTGTATGTGTGTATGTGCTGAAAAAAACTGAAATAGTCACTTAAAGAGTCAGGGATGTTGGGTCGGACTTTTTTGGACCACTTCATAGATCTTTACATATTAGTGTCACACACAGGCTCAAAAAAGGTCCTAGTCGATGTTTAGGTCTCAAAATCAACATTATACTGATTAAAATTTTATGACAACAGTAGATAATTCAATTACATCATCAGAAGATATGTCCTTCATCAAGTTTCGACTGAGTTCTCCTTGAATACTCTTTCAACACGCCCACAATCATCAGATTCATCTGGTTTGGGAAAGGCTCCAAAGCACAACCCATGTTGCAAAATGTTTTTCTGCACATTGCGTGCAATTACACATTTCTACCAGAGAGGTCTCCAAATCCCCAAAACTTACATTGTGCAGCTTTTCACTTTCCAAGGGGAAAGCTGCATATCTAAGTATTTTCATAACCAGCCAAAAATAGAAAAACAAAATAAAAAGGCTGGAGTCAAGACAGTGTGTATGGAATCAATGCAACTTACATTCTGTGCAAAAAATATGAAAACAGCATCAGTGCACTACCTTTTCATGTTGCTCACATATTCAAACATATTTGTACTTCTACCTTTGGAGGTACTGGTATGTCCCTCTGTATGACTGCAGCTCACTGTTGCACAGTAGGGGTAACAGCTCCATAGAGCTGGTCCCCACAAAGAGTTAAGTACGTGCATAAACACACACACTGTACACACACACTGTACACACTCACCTTGAGAACAGTAATGTTCCAGGCGTAACTCTCCATGGCTTTCTGCAGCTTTCGGCCCTTTAGCCCCTCTTTAGCTCCGATGCGGTGCAGGTCCTCATGAAAGTCCAACCCTGAAGAAACAACAGCCATCAGCATTACTCAACTTCATAATCATAATAACTTTACTGAAGTAGTTCATGTATAAGTATGAAGCTAAATCATTCTTAATTATTTTATGTACCTAAAACTGTAAAACAATGAAAATAAAACAGAGTATATCACAAAAGAATATAAATTTAAGGATGTTGCTTTGTTAGTTTGTTTAATAAAAAGAAAAAAAAAGCAACAAATACATTTCAATTATATAAATAAAAACAATTACAAAAATCTAAATAATGGTAAAAAGGGACAAATGCGTATGATTTCAGTAGTTTTTTATTATGGTAGATGTCTTTAACAGGTAAAGAGTACAGAATCTGGGTATTCTCACTCAGCTGTAGACTGATTAAGACTATGTTTGAGTTTCATTCAATTCACTAATATTTAATATTATTATTACAGTCCCCATTATCACCATACTGATCATTTCAGATGTCCTGCAGTAGTGAAGCTCTTGTCAAACACAAAAATGGGTATGAAAATCTGTGTATCTAGATTGTACATGTAGTATAGTTAATCCATTCATGTCTGACAAACCTGTTCTAACTGGTTTTAAGTGATGACATTTTGTGCAGTACATATTTATAGTATAGTATAGCACACCTCAAATAAATATTTAATACCTGTCTGAATTACATGTACAGTCATACCTTTATTCACAATCTACCTATCCTATTTTTATTATTCTGATTCTAATGGTGTGCAAAAGTAAGTAGACATATTATTATTATAATTCTAATAATTATAAATTCAATGAAAATCACTGTTTAGACCAATGGGTTCAATTGATCTGAAACTTTTCTTCAGATTTGTGCTCAGAGAACATTGTTTTTCAGATATGCACAATTTATGAGTTAACATTATCAGCAAAAATCCTATTGTGTGCAAAGTGGTGGTATTTCAAATGTTCATCTGTATACAGTGCAGGACCAAGAAAGTGAATAAAACATCAGTCTGCTCCAAGCAGAAATAACATATCGGCTTATCTAGACCAGTTAGAACAACATGGAACATACACAGGCCTAACGTAGGCATAATATAATGGAACAGTACGTTTGGAGTGCTATTAGATCTGGCAGTTATATCTGTACTGATAAGGACACATCAACACACAGGCTGTGGAATTTCACTGTTTTAAAATGATGAAATTGCTCTAACATATAGTGCCTAAATAGCCCATAATACCTTACTGAGGTTGTTATGATCAAGTCCAAATGCGGTCAGCGTTACACGTTATCAACAGTTCACAAACTCCCGGTATAAAATGCATACAGTAAACATGCTACACGACTAAGTAGTTTATCACATCATGATGCGGAATATGAACAACATCAGAGTACACAGAGAAGTACAGAGGATATTCAGAGCTACTGACCACTAATAAAAACTGTCTGTGATTACTGAACAAATCTGTAGCCTAAGCACAAATATACCTTCCTTGTAATATGATTGAATGAAAGCACGGAAGATGAGCTGTTGATCCCAAACCCCTTTGAGAGTTTAGAGGTTAGACTTTAATAATAAGCTAGTGAGCTACACAGAACAAAAACACAACAGAGATTTCAAAAGCATGTTTCTGATCTGGACCAGTTAAGGGTGAATGTTTTCAGATGCATTATTGTACTGAGCAAAATATTATGTTCCCTAAACATTTTTATTTTTGACACTGTCCAAAAATAACAAATATCTCCAAAATAACAGATTTACAGGAGAATGCAAAATGTTACCAGCTTTTAATGCAAGTGAATGTAATAAACCTGTATCTCAAGTAACTCTGAAGCACTCATCATATAGTTTTCACAGAATGTAAAGGACAGCTCCTGCATTCGAATAATGCAGAAAAATAAAAATTGAAAAAATGGAGATTTTTTGGACAGTGTTCCAAAACATGTTTTGTTTGGATAATATTTTGCTTTACAATGCCTCTACATCCTAAATGTATTTTAAAAACACATTTTAGTCCAAAAATATCTCACGCATCAGACACTGCACTCCATTTCATCTAATAGCTTTCTGTAAGGCAGCTCTTAGAGGTATTAAACACTTCAGACGTCTGGTTCCTATCACCACCACTATGAACAGTTCTGGCTCTGTAAGTTTCTTCAGAGCAGAGCATTTCACATCAAACCACTCTGAATGACTGTGTTTATATCTTACCCATTTAATTTTGCAGAAATGTTGATAATCTGGTGAAATTCCCCTTTAGCTTGTAACATACTAGCTACTTAATTTTACACTGTACTACTTCAGCCACATCCATTGCTGACAGGTGTATAAAATCAAGTACATAGCCATGCAGTCTCCATAGACAGTTGGCAGTAGAATGGGTCGTACTGAAGAGCTAAGTGACTAAACACGGCACTGTCATAACATGCCATATGCCACTTTGACACGTCGGTTTGTGAAATTTTGCCCAGTTAGATCTGCCCCAGTCAACTGTAAGTGCTATTATTGTAAAATGGAAGCGTCTAGGAGCAACAACAGCTCAACCACGAACAGCAGGCCACACAAACTCACAGAGTGGGGCTGCCGAGTGCTGAAGCATGTTCTGTTGTACCACTCACTGCAGACTTCCAAACTGTCTATGGAAGCAACATCAGCACAAAAACTGTGCATTGGGACCTTCATGAATGGGTTTCCACTGAGCAGCTGCACACAAGCCTAAGATCACTATGCACAATACCATGTGCTGGCTGGAGTGGTGTAAATAATATGCTTCCAACAGTTTGGGGAAGACCCTTTCCTGTTCCAGCATGACTGTGCCCCTGTGCTCAAAGTGAGGTCCATAAAGACATGGTATGATGTAGAGGAACTCCAGTGGCCTACACAGAGCCCTGACCTCAACCTCACTGAACACTTTTGGGATGAACTGGAACATCAATTGTGAGCCAGGCCCTCTCATCCAACAACATGCCTGACCTCATAAATGCTCTTTTCACTGAATGGGCACAAATTCCCACAGACAGACTCCAAAATTTTGTGGAAAGCCTTCCCAGAAGAGTGGAGGCTGTTATGGCTGCAAAGGGCAGGGGGCAACTCTATATTAATAATCGAATGTCCACCAAGGTCAATTAGATGTGATGGTGAGGTGTCCTCAGATTTTTGGCCATATAGTGTATATATGTGTATGAACAGTTTCTATAGCACCTCTGTGTAATGAGGATGTATACATGACACCACATGAGAGCTGTGATGAAATAAAGTGCTGTGAGTCTGTGGATAACGATGAGTGGATGGATGGTCAAGTGAACGGATAGATTGATGGACTGTGGTCTCAAAAGATAAAAGCTTTGACATTTTATATATTTTTTTTAAGGCTGGCCTAAAAAAAGACAAAAACACTTTGTCTGCACTGACACAGCAAGAGTAATTGCAAAAGTGTGTTCAGGAAAGGAACCGCCAACTCAACTTCCATGGAAATCTCTCTCGCATATTGAGCAGCATCAGTGGGCAAAATATTTAAAAAAAAATCTATCTGCGTCTAAATACACTGTGGATATCAATGATTCATTCAGGCCTGTGTTTTTAAAAGGACTGCAAGCTCCCTGATGGCTTCCAGAGTAAAATCTGTTTCTGGTTTGCTGTCGATGGTTTTTTCCATTGTTGTTTAGCTGGCGTGCAGAAAAACAAAGCAAATTCAGCAGATCGTGTGCTCTCCCTTTCAGTTCTGCATAAAGCCAGCCCTGAGGCTTCCTCAGAAACGCAGAGCTTTTATTCTGAAACAAAAATGTCCTATGCTTTATTAACTTTCTCTCTGTTTGTTTAAGATATGTCCCTGGACTGTGGTCCATTCAGCCAGTTCCACACTAAACTCATGAATATATGAATATGAATTTTTATTTACAGACATAAGTGCCCTCTGTTAATGAACTCTACCATTCAGAGTCTGGAATCACTTATTAGATACCATAACACTTGTGGACTTTATGCAGACTTGTGGACATAGAATGAATTAACATTATAAACTAAAACTAATAATACCATGTTTTTTACCTGTATTGGGAAGTATAAGACATTATTAAATGATATAATTATACATTTGGAAGATTTTTTTTGTCTAGTTATGTACTTCAATATTTGATCTCCACTTTAAAAGAAAAGATCTTTCTTTCTTGTAGATCATTCGATTATAAATTTAAATATTATACCTTAATTTTTACTATAAATGAAATATTATTATTATGGAATCATCTACAGATGTGTTCACTGTTCTGGACACATTTATTACATGTTTACACACATGATTTACCAGCAATTACCAGAAAACAGAAAAAGAAAGATAGACAGAGATAGATAGAGAGAGAGAGAGAGAGAGAGAGAGAGAGAGAGTGTAACTGTAGACATTGCTCTCTGAGTGCCAGAGCTAAAGGTGCCAAAATGCTTCTCTTGTCTCAGCACCTGCCACAGACTCACAGCTGAGCCCACACCCACACGGGCAACCTTTTACTCAGAAAAACTGATTCAGAGGCCAACGGTGAGGCATAAATACCAGCCTGTGTGGCCTTTGACACAAAAGAATAGAGACATTTATTGCTTTGGCTTTGATTCATGCAGCCATTTTCACACATACCAACCTTCCAGCACCACACACACCTGATTCAGCTGAGCCAAACGCTCTGCATCTGCTTTTAAAGGGCTCGGATCACTTAAACTAAACTGTCCCTCCTTTCTTTTAAAGTAAAAGACTCTGTAGTACGTAAACTCCCCAGTCCATACAGTTCATACGTGGAAACAAAGCTGGAAAAACAGCCTGTTCTGAATTCACTGTTGTACATATATCCACCTATTCAGTCTACAGTGCTTTAGCTCCACCCATTCACAGTGTAGTGTTTTTGACCCAGACTGATTTTTGAATGAGGCACAATACATGGCAGCCAATCAGAACAGAGGTCATTTACATAGTTCTAAGGGATAAAGAGTGGTCATGTAGAAATGATTTATGACTGTTTTTAGTACATAAACTTACATTAAC